GCTGGTTGATCGGTTGGTGGGAATTTGGACGTGATCCGAGGGTCTGAGATGGAATCCTGGCTCTGACAATCGTTGCCATGTGACCTGGAGCTGCCCCTCTGTGCCTCAGCTACCTCTTCTCTAAAGTGAAGGGGTTAACCTGGATGGGCCTTCAGGACCTCACTTAACTCTAAATCCTATGGTCATCTGGACCTAACCTATCGTTATTTTTAGTGAGGGAAGGGGGCAGTTTTAGCTAGTAAGAGGTAGAGGCAGTTTTAGGGTCAGTTTCTAAGTTACTGTCACCTCACCTATTGTGCGATCTTCATTTCCCTTTTGACACCTTGCCCTTTGCTCCCCACCCCAGCTCGATGTGCCCAGATGGCCAACACCGATGATTATGTTCATGGACCTGCCCTAGAGTTACCGCATCTCTCTAGAGTGGCCTCAATGTTCAAGAGTTTGCAGCCCCTTCCTGGCCTCCCAGACACAGAAATGTCACGACATTGCCCATAATAGGTCATATTTATACAGTAGCTTCAGCTACAAGAAGTACTTTTTTTTATAAGACCTGGGTGAGTTAGGGAATGCCAGCATCCTTGTCCCCATTTTAGAGATAGGCAAACGGGACCAGAGGAGTAAGGCTATTTGTCCACACTCACACTAGTAAGTGACAAAATCAGGATTCAAACCCAGATCAGATTCCAGGTCCAATGCTCCTCACACTACTTCTATTCCACGATGCCCAGAGCATTGGTTCTTGAAGTGGGTGGGCCAGTTATACCTACTTCTCCTCTGTTAAAAGAATAGAGCACCTTGGGGCTCTATTCTTTTAGACTGAATGGTCCACCAAGGCACAGAGCCATAGCCAAATGTGAATCCTGTGAATTTCCTGTGAATCCTCCTCCCTTTTCCCTTCCTCAGGCCACAAGGATATTCCCACAGTTGAATTCTGACTCCTGATACAGAGGAGACCAAAGCTGAGCCTTGACTTCCATCACCTTCCCCAGCTCCACTGTTAACTGACCTCTTCCCAGACTAGTAATGATAATACTAAGACCTCCATATTCTACTTTATTCTCCCTTTCACAGAGCATGGAGTTACAAGGGACCTTCCAGATTACCTAATGCCCCCCCTCTACCTCCATTTTGCAGAAGAGGAAACTAAGTCTCAGAATGGAGGAAGGAGAGGTATAAGAAGCAAAAATTTTGAGCTGAAAGGAGACATAGAAGTCGTCTTTCCGTAGGTTCATAGATCCAGAGCAGAAAGGGAATTTGGGGACCATCTAGTCCAACCCTCTCTTTTTATAACTTATTTGCCCCAAGGTAACAGAGATAGGAAGTATATAAGGCAAGATTGGAACCCAGGATATCCAACTCCAGAGCCAGCCCTCTTCCTACTACATCACTCTGTATCAGGTGGCACAGACTTATTTGTGTTTGTGTGCTCAGGATTTGGTTTTGAGAGCATCCCACCCCTCTTGAGCCATCTTTCTCCATCAGATAAGATCCTCTCTCTCCCTTTTTTTGGACCCTTTGAAGTTCCTCTCTCAAAGTCTAGGGTATGCAGAGTCTCCTTCCATGTTTCTTCTCATCTCTCACAAAGTCTTCACAGAGTACAGTCCCCTCCTCCCAAGGTTTCAGCCCTTCCTGTCTCAGCAGACTTCTTCCTTGGTCAGAATCAGGTCCAGAATATCAGCTTTTGTTTGTTTCTTTCTGCCCTTCCTAAAGGCTGAAATGATCAATGAGGCAAGTCAAGAATTTGTCAACAGCTTTGCTTTTTATAGACTGAGTGTGGCAGTTAAGTCGGTGCTGGTTGAAGCCCCTGTACTTGGCCTTTGGGCAAACTATTTTTATCTGCTTCTGGAACTCATCATCCATGTCTTCCTTCTGACCAGGCATTCAAAGTATATATTTAGTGCCTACTATGTGCCCTGGGTATACAAAGACAAAAAAAAAATGAAAAAATACTTGTCTTCCAAGAATTCACCTTCTTGTGAGGTGGAAGGGAACAATATACACATAGAAAATTAGATTAAAAATATAAACAAGGTAGATACAAAATGATCTTAAGGGGGAGGAGCTTTTAACACCTAAGCAATCAAGAAAGATCTCCAGCACCTAGCACAGTGCCTGGCACATAGTAGATGCTTAATAAATGTTTATTGACTGACTCACCAACTGTAAAAGGTCTAGTCAACAAGCATTTCTTGAGCACTTACTATATGCCAAGGACTGTGCTTAGTGCTGGGGATATAAAACCAGTCCCTGCCTTGAAGGAACTCACATTCGAATGGGAAAGACCTGAGCTGAGCCCTGCACAGAACAGCAAGAGGACCAGTTTGGCTGGAATGTGAAGTGCCTGAAGCAGTGAGCCTGTGAGGGTAAGATGTAGCCAGATGGGAAAGCTCTTTTTTTTTTTAAATAATATTTTAATTTTTCCAATTAACATGTAAAGACAATTTTTAACATTAATTTTTATAAAATGTTGAGTTCCAAATTTTCTCCCTCCCTCTCTTCCTCTCCACCTCCCAAAGATGGTAAGCAATTTGATATAGGTTATAAATATGCAATCGTGTAAAACATATTTTCATATTAGTCACGTTGTGAAAGAAGAAACAGTTTGCAAAAGGGAAAAAAAAAAGTGAAAATAGTATGCTTCACTAGACCTGCGTTCAGACTCCATAGTTCTTTCTCTGGATGTGGATAGCATTTTCCATCATGATTCTTTTGGAATTGTCTTGGATCATTGTATTGTTGAGAAGAGCTGAGTCTATCATAGTTGATCACTGGAAAGATCTTCAAAAGTCAAAAAGAGGAGTCTATATTTGATCCCTTCTCACTTCTTACCTGGAGAGTTACACTAGCGGTTTTTTGTTTGTTTGTTTTTCATTGTTAGGCAGTTGGGGTTAAGTGACTTGCCCAGGGTCACACAGCTAGTAAGCGTCAAGTGTTTGGTCTGAGGCCACATTTGAACTCAGGTCCTCCCAATTTCAGGGCCAGTGCTCTATCCACTGTGCCACCTAGCTGCCCCTATACTAGCACTTTAAGGGGTCTCCATGCTCAAATGTCTCCCCACTCTAATCCTTCTTCCATTTAAGGGTCAAAGTAGTTTTACTGAAGTACAGGTCAGATCCATTCTTCCCACCCCAACAACACACACACACACACACACACACACACACACACACACACACACACACACACAACTCCAGTAGTTTCCTCTTACCTCCAGGAGGAAATGTAAGTTCCTTTGGCATTTAAAGTTTTTCATAACCTGGCTTCTTCATACCTTTACATTCTTCCTACAATTTACTCCCCTCCACACACTCTGCAATCCAGCAAGGTTTGCCTACTTGTGTTTCCTCCAGTAACATTCCATGTCCTGTCTCCATGCCTAGAGAGCTCTCATTCTTCACATCCACCTCTTAGTTTCCCTGGCCTCCTTCAAGAATCGGCTTAAACCTCACCTCCAGTAAGATGCCTTTCCCAGATTCCCCAGCTGATACAGTCTTCCTTTTGGGGATTACCTTCCATTGATTCTGTATGTATCTTGCATGCACCTAGTTATTTAGACCTCACATCCCCCATTAGAATGTGAGTTCCTCTGTGCCCAAAGGACTATAAAATTGTGTGTACCCTTTGACCCAGCAACATCACTTCAAGGTCTGTATCCCAAAGAGATCATGCAGATGGGAAAGGGACCCACATGCACAAAAATATTCATAGCAGCTCTTTTTGTGGTGGCAAAGAATTGGAAATTGAGGGGATGCCCATCAATTGGGGAATGGCTGAAGTGGTTGTGGTATATGAATGTAATGGAATGCTATTGTTCCATAAGAAATGATGAGCAGGTGGACTTCAGAAAAACCTGGAAAGACTTGCATGAACTGATCTGAGTGAAGTGAGCAGAACCAGGAAGACATTGTGCATAGTAACAGCAACATTGTGCGATTACCAACTTTGATAGATTTAACTCTTCTCAGCAATACAATGATCTAAGACAATTCCGAAACATTCATGATGGAAAATGCTATCCATATCCAGAGAAAGAACTATGGAATCTGAATGCAGATCAAAGCATACTATTTTCTCTTTTTTTTTTCATTTCTTCTTTCTCGTGGTTTTCCCCTTTGGTTCTAATTCTTCTTTCACAACATGACTAAGGTGGAAATATGTTTAACATAATTGTACATGTATAGCCAATATCAGATTGCATGCTGTCTCAGGGAGGGAGGAGGAGAAAATTTAGAACTCAAAATCTTATAGAAATGAATATTGAAAATGAAAAACAAATACATAATTTTTTTAAAAAAGAATATGAGTTCCTTGAGGGCAGGGACTCCTTTTGCCTTTTACTATATCTCCAATGCTATAGACTGTGCTTGGCACAAAGTGAGAACTTTGTAATTGCTTGTGATTTTTTAGTTGACTTGATTCTGGAGAGAGGAATGAATCATTGGAGTTTCTTGATAGAGAATTGAAAAGATCAGACCTGCCCTTGAAGAAAGTCAGTTTTGAGCCTGAGTGAAGGATGACTCTTGTTGAAGATAATTAATCAAGGTTAGGAACCTGAGTGTGTAGAAGAATAATAGTATTCTCAAAGGAGAATTTAGGAAGGGGGAAGATTGAGAGGGAAAAGACTATGAATTCTGTTTTGGCCATGATGACTTAGAGACACCTTAGCGACAGTCAGTTGGAGATGTCCAGTTGGCAGTTGGCAATGTAGAACTGGATTTTGGGAGGGAGACTCGGGCTAGATATAGCAATCTGGGAGTCATCTGCATGAAGTTGAGCTTATGGGAAATGATGGGATAACTAAGAGCTGAGATATGGAGAAAGAGACAGAGACAGAGAGAAAAGACAAAAGGGCCCCGCACACAGCCCTCTAGTCCATCCACGTAGTGAGGTAGGGCATGGATGATAATCTGGCAAAGGAGAGGCATTGCAGAGTTAATCTGGAATAAACTCCTGCCAGAACATATCATTAATAACATGTCACCTGGTTGTTTTTTTTCCAGCACCCTTTCCCCCTTTCCCCAGAACTTGGATAACTATAAGGATCAAGAAGAGGAGGAAGATGAACAACAGGAAACAAAAGAGATGCAGCCAGCCAGAGAGGAGAACAAGTAGGCAGCTAATCCCAGGCTGGGGGAGGACTTAGAACCAAGGCCTATAGTGGAAGAAATAGTGAACATGGTACCAATTCTGCCGCTCGTTGTGTGACCTTGGGCAAGTCACTTTTCCCCTCTACAGACCAAGGTCTCCTCTTCCATAACATGAAAGAATTTTAGCTATTTGTCAGACCCAAACATTCCACTATTCTAAGATTCCCTGCCCAGCCCTCATTCCAAGATGAAGGTCAGGAAGGATAGGAAAGCTCTGTAGGGGATGAAATGGGGATGAGGCAGTCATGATGAGGAAGACTGCATTTACGAGATCTATGATCCTAGGATCATGGTTCAAGAGCCAAGAGAGACCCTAAATGCCATGTAGTCCAATCCCCTAATTTTGCAGATTAGGAAACTGAGGCCCAAGGAAATTAGATGACTTACCCAAAGCTAAATATCACACTGAACCTAGAGCCCTTGATGATAGTATTTGGTCAAGAAATGGTGTGGCTAGCCTCCAAGAGCTCTCTGAGTCTGCTGGATAAAGCTTGTCTAACTGTTTGGCTACTTCTTATCAATCAGAGGATGATCTGGGCGAGGGCTCTGGGTCAAGTGGGTTGGAGCAGGGGCCATCTGTTAGTTTGCTACTGAAATACAGAATCAGGCATTTGAATGTTGAGCTGAGATCTCTTGGTTTAATTCACATTTTTCAGAAGAGGAAACTGAGCTTCAGAGAGGTAGTAACAGGCCTAAGATTATGCAAATAGTTCATGACAATGCTGAAACTGGAACTCGGATCTCATTCATTCATTCATTCAATAAACTATTGAGGGGGCAGGTAGGTGGGCACAGTGGATAGAGCTCCGGCCTTGGAGTCAGGAGGACCTGAGTTCAAATCTGGCCTCAGACACTTGACACTTACTAGCTATGTGACCCTGGGCAAGTCACTCAACCCCAATTGCCTCACCAAAAAATAAAATAAAATATTGAGCACCTACTATGTGGAAAGCATTGTGCCATTTGTAGAGCCCCAGTTCTCTATTGCTGACTTCAAGTCTATAATTTCATGAAATTGAACAGACTTGTATACTAGATACAAAGTTTTGCTCCTCCCTCCCTCTCCAGATGGATGGTTGAGCCTCTCATTCTCCTATTTTATTTTCATTTTTTTATCCCTAGAGTGCCTCTATAGAAGGCACTTAATCAATGACTCCCAGTTGGTTGATTCACCCCCTCCTGCTCTTTGATTCTGCCATAGAAGAGACTAGAACAGAACCCCTTCTGAAAGCCTCATTGAAATAAGCTAAAATGATGACTTGTAAAAGTTTTATTGATGCTTTTGAAAAATTGTTGTCATTCCCGACTCAGAGACCTTCCCTGTGATGATAATAATAACTAGCTAGCACTTACATAGCTCTCTAAAGTTTGCAATGCACTCACATATATGATCTCATTGGGTCCTCACAATAACCCTATGAGGTAAATGCTGTAACTTTCTTCATTTTATGAATGGAGAAATTGAGGCTGAAGGAGGGTATGACTTGCCCCAGGTCACACAGCTAGTAAGTGTCTGAGGCAAGTTTTGAACTCAGGTCTTCCTGACTTCACCTCCAGCACTGTAGCCACTATACCACCTAGCTGCTTGTAACCAAAAAGTACAGGTAAACAAAGCAGTCCAATATGCTGATGTGTCTGAAGGGATATGACTCATTCTACACTGGTAGTTCACCCCTGTTCTACCAAAAGGAGGGAGCTGTGTTTTGTCAACATTTTCTGGAGTCACACCAATTACAGCACTGAGATAATTCTGACACCTTGGAATGTTCCCCTTACTCCACTTTCTCATCTCTGTGTCAGTTCATACAAGCTTTCTCAAGTTTCTCTGAACTTTTCATATTTGTCAATTCTTCTAGGACAATAAAGTACATTCATATACCATACTTTTTCCAACCATTTCTCAATCAGTAACCACACGCTTTTCCCCCTGTTGTTTGTTTGGTCTTTTTTGGCAACCACAAAAAAAAACCACACACTGTTATGATTATTTTAATATACATGTGACCTTTCTCCTCTGTCTTTGATCTCATTTTGGACAAAAGCCCAAGAATGGTCATTTTTTAAGGTCATCAAAATTTTGTTTCAACCCTTATGAATCTAGTGACTGAATTGTCCAGGTAGCTGGTCAATTCTGCTTCTCCTCAGAAAACCAGTGAACAATTTTTGGATGCACAGAATGGTCCAGGTATCTGCCGTGTTCATTTGAATGAGTCAGGGAGTTCCTAGAAGGGGCCAGGCCTACCTAGTTCTCAGCAATAACTTTCTGCATGAAGGTTTTTCTCCTCAGGTAGTCTGCTTGGAGTCACAGGGCCATGGCTAGCCCACAAAGGTGGCCTTGGACTGCCTAGGGTTCCCCTACTTGCTTCAGCTGAGAACCCATTGTTAGATGAGGAATTCATGAAAGAATTGGGGACCTTTAGCTTAGGGCAGATGGGTTGGGATTTGATAGCTGCCTTCAAATGTCTGAAGCACTGTCCTTGATGAGAATGATGGAATTTGTCCTCTTTACTCCCAAAAGACTGAATGATGACACATCAGTAGCAGAGAAGTACACCAGCTTTCCTACTGATTGGAACTGTCCAGAAGTGGAATGGGCTTCCTCAGGAGGCAGTAGGACCATGGACTTGGGTCTAGAACTTATTATTTTATGGGTGAGGAAAGTGAGGTCCAGAGAAGCATAGGACACACAAGTTGTAAGTAGTTGGGCTAGGATTTGAATCTAGGTCCTTAGATGCTAAATATAGCCTTCCTACTCTATTAGATAAAGAGTTTGCCCATCACAGAAGGTCTTCAAGTGGAGGATGAATGACCACTTCCTGGTTATGTTGTTGGGGGATTCTTGTTCAAGTCCAGACCAAATTGGATGGAATATGAGATCCTAGTCAACTCTGAGATGAATGCAGTGGAAGAGATTTGGGTTAAATTCCTGCTCCTGATGTTTGCTACTTGCGTGTCCTTTAGCCTTCCTAGGTCTCAGTTGCCTTGTCTGTAAATGAGAGGTTCCTTCCAGATCTAAGTCTCCGATATGTAAAATAAAGGGATTGGACTAGGTGGTCTTTTGGTCTATCCCAGATCCAAGTTTATTGAGAGTTGGAAGAGTTACCCTCTAAAATGGGGATAAGTTGACAATAAGTGGTGAATGTGTCCACTGACCCATAGTTCTTGTTGGGTCGCTCTGCCATGGGATAGCTATGGGTTCTGTCCATTATCTTCTACTTTATCTGGATTTTGCTTCTTTAGGAAAAAAGACTTAGATGCTCTGTCAACAAGCAAACACATGCAGCTAGAGACCCTCATTGAGTCGACACCAATGGATTTAAAGGCCCGTAGGAAGTCAATGGTGATTCAAAAGAGGATGAGCAAGTGGAAGAAATGATGCCATCTATCTCAGGAAATTGTATTTCCCTAAGGATACCAGTGCCTCCTGATCAAAGGGCATGGGGTCCAAACATATATAAGCAGCCTTTATTATTAATTTTTGCTTCTCCTTTCCCTCCACTTTCCTTCCCAAAGGCCTATTTGGGAGAATTGTGAGTGGTCAACTTGAGCTTGTGGAAGCTCAAAGTGAGGTCCCAAGAAAGATCTGGCTAAGCTGGTCTCTCGCTCCCCTTTCAGTGCTAGCGTCCCTTGGAAGCACTGCTGACTAAAAGCCCAAAGATGAGGGTCCTTCCAAGGTGCCCCTCGAGAACTAGCTTTCTCCTGGGTGACCGATGAGTTCAAAGACAGAAATGACCCATTCTCAAGCTGAAAATATATAGATATTATTATTATTTAATTAATCATAGCACATAAGTTTAGGTTAAAAGCCAATAAATTCTTTAAGTCCCTAAAGGACATTAATAGGTCTAAGGCTTGGGCAAGGGGGGTGGGAATTAAAAGTGAAAGGAAAGGGAGAGGGATAATAAGATGAAGTGATGGGAGGGAAGGACAAATAAAGGGAGGGAGGAAGATAGGAAGGAGAAGTGAGGAATGAGAGGGCAGGGAAAAGAGTGGAACAAGGTAGGAAAAGGGGAGTAGAGAGGGAAAGATGGGGAGAAGAACAAGGAGCAAGAAGAAAGAACAGAGGAAGAGTCAAGGGGAAAGGAAGGGAGAAGAAGAGAGGAGGTTGGAGGAGAAAAGATTGCAGAGGGATGGATTAATGAGTAAAGGAAAAGGAGGTGAGAAAAGGTAGGTGGAGGTAGGGAGAGAGAATTATCATCATCATTTACTGGAAAAGTTCCTCATTGACTTAGAGCAGATCTCCAGCTATCTTCCTTCAATACAATAAAAATCCCTAACTGGGGCTTAGATAAGCAAGTGTCTTTAATCACAGTAACCCACGTAAGGCTACTTGGAGCAAATGGACAACTGGGTCTTAACAGTAAACTATTTAGAGTCACAGCCAGAGAGGCCTAACTCAGTTCCACTCTGATTTAGGAATCAGAGTTTATCATATCATTTGTATTTGGTTACACTGGGAGTGTCACCGGTATTTGATCAGAGTACCTTAATGATATTGTTTACCCTTTCTAAATTATAATTTTTACAATTTATAAAAGCTTATATAAATTTATAAATTATAATTTCCTTTAACTCTGGTTTCAAAAGGTTTTTTACATTATTAAGCACACATTTTATTACTTTTGAGAGTCCACATCTTTTCAATAGGAACTCATCTTTGTTTTCTTAATGGCCATCAATGGGAAAATCAGATTCAATGTATTTAAAAAAAAAAAGCTTTCCAGGCCACATTTTTGGAAAATCTGTATTTGATGCAGTGAGTTACTCAGGTATTTAGACTGGTCAGAGAATGGAAAGGGTTCATTTTGGTTTCATTAACATATGGTAAGCAAGCAAATAACCAACCTGATGCATAGTAAATTTTGTTCTACCCTTCATTTTTGTTCTGTGTATGTCTTTGCTTGCTAAGCATGTTTTTTGTAAGCAACTGAGGTTGCTTTCTTATCCAGTGAGGATTTTGACTTCGTATCCAATCTGTTACTCTCTTTTGTTTTATTAGCTTGTTTAATCCATTGACATTTATAGATGAAGTTAGGTTTATGTTTTTCTCCACTTATCTAATATTGTATTTTGTCATAATTTGGATTTTTTTCCTCTTCCTATTTAAACACAGTACATTGTATCTCCAGTTATTATTGTTTAGTCTACTTCAAGGCAACCCTATTCCTAGTAGCTCTCTTCCTCACACATTCAAGCCCCACGTCCTCCCATTTATCACCTACTTTTCCCTAGTTTTGGAGTTTTATTTAACTTATTAATTCCTTTTTTGTTTTTCATTTTATTTAGTTATTTAATTCTTCCCTTTTTTCCTGCCAGTTAAGTAAATACAAATCCTTCTTTCCTTCCTCCCTTTCAAATTCTTTTGTTAGGTTTTAAATGTTTTTCTGTGCCTTTTTCTTAAAAAAAAATATTTCTCTCATTCTCTTCATTAAATATGTTCCCTTTCTGTTTATTCTAAATGTTTATTCTTTGATTCATGGTCTGAATGTTAATTTGTTCCTTCTTTAATTTCTGTGTTCTCCATGGACTTAGAGCTTCTAAAGTACCAATTTTGAGTTTTTTTCTAAAAAGTGTTATACTGTTGCTATAGGAACCTTGCTCCCTTTTCTCTTTTTTTTTCTGTTGTGACTCACTCTTAGAGGTATCAATTCCTATAGGAGATAGAGAAGATAGAAGTATAGAGTGCCTCATGGCAGAAATTGTCTTATGTGCCCAATTCTGCAATTCATTGCTACTTCCTACCTTCCCTATGATCATTCCCTGCCCCACCCCTCCCCACCCCCCACACCATTTCCCATGAAATCTCCTTTCTGGGTCCATGCTGTCTCACACTTCTGCATGTTAGTTACCTCCATGAGCTCAGGATGCTATTCATGGAGGCAAAACACTCAGAGGAAGTGACCTCTATAATCAACAGATCCCTGCATATTATACCCAATTATAAAGTTCCCATCTCTCATTACAAACTATCCCCCCCCCAAAAAAGTGTCTTTCAGTGGGACTCCCTCTGACAACTGAATCAATATTTCTTCCTTTCCCCTCATTTAAGTTACTTCCTTTGCCCCTTCCCCCATTCTCCAGGCTCTCTTCTTCCTGAGAGACTACAGAAGATATTTTCCCTTTATTATTTACTATTGACTTGATTACATGCCTTTCCAGTCTGCAGTTTAGTCTTACAAAAACATCTATCCACTATAGGTGGGTTTTGTGAGGTTTGGTCCATGGTGTTTCATTCTCCATCATCACTTCTAGAAAGAAAACTCATAATGGTTCTATTGATATTTTGTTGTTATTGCTTTTAACTTCATAGGTACCTTTCTCTTTAAAAAAAATTAATATTTAATTTTTTCCAGTTACATGTAAGAACAATTTTAACTTTTGTTTGTTTTTTTTTAATAATTTTGAGTTTTAAATTCATTCCCATGCACCCTTGCCCTCTACTCACTGAGAATTTGTTAAAGGTTATACATGTGCAGTCATACAAAATATTTCCATATTAGTCATATTGTGGAAGAAAACACAGACCAAAAAGAAAAGAAAAAGAAAGTTTAAAAAAAACCAGTGTACTTCGATCTGTGCTCAGATTCTGTCAGTTCTTTCTGTGGAGATACATGGCATTTTTTCATCATAGGTCCTTCAAAATTGTCTTGCATCTTTTTATTGCTGAGAATAGCAGTCGCTCCCGGTTGATCATCATGCAATATTTCTGTTACTGTGTACAATGTTCTCATGATTCTGCTTACTTCACTTTGCATCAGTTCATGTAAGTCTTCCCAGGTTTTTCTGAAACCATCCTGCTGGTCATTTCTTATAACACAATAGTATTCCATTTCTGATAACACAATAGTATTCCTTATAACACAATCATATACCACAACTTGTTCAGCCATCCCCCAGTTTATGGGCACATCTCAATTTCCAATTCTTTGCCACCACAAAAAAAAAAAAGAGCTGCTATAGATATTTTTGTATGCATAGGTCCTTTTCCTTTAATTTAATCTCTTTGGGATACAGACCTAATAGTGGTATTGCTGAGTCAGAGGGTATGCATAATTTTATAGCCCTTCGGTCATAGTTTCAAATTGATCTCCAGAATGGTTGGATCAGTTCACAACTCCACCAACTGCATTAGTGTCCTAATTTTCCCAACATCCCTTCCAACATTTGTCATTTTCCTTTTCTGTCATATTAGTCAACTTGATAGTATGAGGTGGTTAACTCAGAACTGTGCTGACCTCATTGTTGCATATACCTGTGAAACCTAGACAGTATATCAGTGCCATGCCAGGAAACTGAATCACTTCCATTTGAATTGTCTTAGGAAGATTCTGAAGACTACCTGGCAAGATAAGGTACCAGACCCTGAAGTCCTTTCTCAGTTGAACTGCCAAGTATTCAAACTCTACTGCACAGAGTGCAGCTCCAGTGGACTGGCCATGTTGTTCAAATACCAAAAGTATATTTGCCTAAAAGTCTATTTTATGGAGGACTCACACAAGACAAGCTCTCATATGGCAGTCAGAAGAAGTGATATAAAGACACTGTCAAGGTCTCTCTGAACAACTTTGGAATCAATTATGTGACATGGAAGACCCTGGCACAAGATCACCCAGCATGTCATGCCCTCATCAAAGATGGTATTGTATTCTACAAGCAAAGCAGAATTGCAGGAGCTCAAAAGAAAAGTGAGATGTGCAAATTTGGAGACATTTGCACTCCAAATGTTCATATGGACTATTTGTGCCCAACCTGTGGTAGAGCCTTCTGAGCTCCTATTGGTCTGATTAGCCATAGTCAGACACAGTAGGTACACAGTGATGTCATTTTGGTTCTCAAGAACAAAAGAAAACAACCTAACTCCTTTACCCTCAAAACTATCATATTCCAAGCCCTCCAATTCCTTAATGTAGAAGCTCCTAAATCTTGTGTGATCTGCACTGTGGCTCCATGATACCTGAATTGCCTCTTTCTGTCTGCTTGCAGTATTTTCTCCCTGACCTTGGAGCTCAGGAATTTAGCTATGATATTTATTTGGGGATCTCTTTCAGGAGGTGATCAGTGGATTCTTTTGATTTCTATTTTATCTTCTGGTTCTAAGATAACAGGGCAGGGTTTTTTATATATAGTTTCATATAATATGATGTTTGGGCTCCTTTTTTTATCATGGCTTTTGAGGAGTTCAGTAATTCTTAAATTAATTCTCCTTGATCCGTTTTCCAGATCTGTTGTTTGTCCAGTGAGATATCTCACATATTCTTCTATTTTTTTATTTTTTTAAATTTTATTTTATTGTTTATTGATGTTTCATGAAGGTCACTAGCTTTTACTTGTCCAATTCTAGTTCTGAAGGAATTATTTTCTTCAGTGAGCCTTTGTGCCTCCTGAATCTGGCCAAATCTATTTTTTTAAGGCATTGTTTTCTTCAGTGAATTTTTGTACAACTTTTTTCATTTTTGGTGCTTCCTTTACCAAACTGTCGAGTCTTTTTTCATCATTCTCTTGCATCACCTCACTTCTTTTCTGAATTTTCCCACTATCTCTCTTATTTGATTTTTTTTTTTTGGCTAAGCAATGGGGTTAAGTGACTTGCCCAGGGTCTTATAGCTAGTAAGTGTTATATGTCTGAGGCCGAATTTGAACTCAGGTCCTCCTGAATCCAGGGCCAGTGCTCTATCCACTGTGCCACCTAGCTGCCCCCCTCTTATTTCATTTTTTATGTCCTTTTTGAGCTTTTCCATTAAATCTTTTTGGGGCTGAGACCAATTCACTTTTTCTTTCGAGGCTTTGCATGTCGCCATTTTGATACTTGTCTTCTTTTGGGTTAGTGTTTTGATCTTCCCTGTCACCACGGTAACTTTCTATGGTCGGGTTCTTTTTTGTTGCTTGCTCACTTTTCCAGCCTATTTCTTGATCTCCAACTTTATGTTAAAGTTGGGATGTGTTCCCAGGGTGGAGGGGG